TTTTTCCCACGGCACACCTTACACTATGTCACGGCACACTAGTGTGCCGTGGCACAGTGGTTGAAAAACACTGTTCTAAGGTAACCATTGAGTCAATATCTCATAATCTGCTGCATTGCATATTATACTAGGATTTGTACACAGTTCACATACACTGTTTTCCTGATGGCCATATAAGATTGCTTGAATGAAACGACATACTTTATTTGGAGACATCTCCAACGAAATCTTTAACAAATCGGTTAAATATTGTTGTATTTGTTGCTAGTTAAAGTCAATAACTTTAAATTTAGTAGTTGTGCACTTCACATTTCAGAGACTAAAGGAAAGGCTATTTAGTTTACTGCTTTGCTATTGCTCTACACGTATCTATATGTGTATAAATATAGATAGTCCTCAACTTATGACCACAAATGAATCCAGAATTTCTGTTGCTAATCAAGACAGCTTTTAAGTGAATTTTGTCTCATTTTATGACCTTTCTTGCCACAGTTGTTAAGTGAATTACTGCCGTTGTTAAGTAAATTTGGCATACCATTGACTTTACTTATCAGAAAGCAAGGTGGAAAAGGTGATCACATGACCTAAGGTCACAAACTATCATAAATATGAATCAGTTGCCAAGCAGCCTAATTTTGATCACGTGGGGATGCTGCAACAGTTGTCCTAAAATGGTCCTAAGTCCCTAAACAGTTATTAAATTAAATGTTGTAAGGCAATAGCTACCTATACACCTAAATGTTGTTCGAGTTGATATTAATTTCCAGGTAGTCCTTGGGTTTTGAGGGGAGTTGGGACCAGAATTTAATGTGATGTGACTGCATTGCTTAGTGATGGAAGTCCCAGTTGTCATCATAATCCCAGAACTGTATGAGGAGGCAAGAGTCCTAGGTGCACCTGGCAAACACTATGGAGTGGGTGGGTACTGCATGGATACCATGTATAGTTACTATGACATATGGGTGAGTTGGGGGGTCACAGGCAAGTTGAATATGTGACTGGGATCTCATATGCTGTAACAAGACTCCTTGGGAATAAAAATGGCAAAAGCAACATATAGGATAAACTTGCGGCCTTCTCTGCAAGCTTCCCTTTTGATTTTGCTTGTGGGAAGCCAGCAAGGAAGATTGCAAATGTTGATCATGTGATTGTGAGGCAAATGCAACTGTTAAGTCTGAACTGGTTGCCAAGCGCCCAAATTGTGATACCATAAACATAGGAGAGTTGTGATAGGCAGAACTTTAAGGATGAGTCATAAGTACTACTTGCTCAGCTTTGTTGCTAACTTTAGATAGTCACTGAACAAGTGATTGTATCTCTAGGACCATCTGTATTTTCCCTGTTACTTTAACTCAATTTTCATCCTTTAATCCATCTTAGAAATACTAATTTTCTTTTTCTTTTTAATATTATTATTTTGTTTTGATTTTATAAACAAACTTTTAAATCAGAATATATTTTGTATTGTTTCCCTATAGTATTTAAGATGATTGACGAGATAAGGATATTTAAAAATTAAATGTCTCCTCTCTTTCTATAAAGTATTCCGGGGAATTACATTGTGTATATATTAAGCAACTATTAATATATGTAAGAATTCTGATAGCGAAGCCAGATTTGCAGCTATAATTTGAATAAATGGTGATAATCTTTAAAATTAAACTAGATATATAATTTTTTTTAAATTTCTTCCAGGTGCTTTCTACCTTGTATTTGAATATATGGATCATGATCTCATGGGGCTTCTGGAATCTGGCTTGGTTCATTTTGATGAAAGTCATATTAAATCTTTCATGAGACAGTTGATGGAAGGCTTGGATTATTGCCATAAGAAGAATTTCTTACATCGAGATATAAAATGTTCTAACATCTTACTAAACAACAGGTAATCATCCAGTTTTATAAAAAAATTGTTTCCAAAATTTAGAAATCAAACAAAATGTAGTTTGTAAATTCATTTTCAAATAATATTTATTTGATACATATAGTGCATTTTTTGTTCAAACTGCTGGAGATACTGAAAATTATTAGTCTAATAATTAGGCCCAGTCTTAGACCCAGTACTCTTCAAAATCTTCGTAAATGACTTAGATGAGGGAATAGAAGGGAACTCATCAAATTTTCGTGTGTACTGAACTCTGCATTTTAGTAGGATTGTGATTTTCATTTCCCAAGGAACCTTTTTTTAACCTGTACATAGTGATACATACACACAGAGCTAGATTAATGACATACTGCATGCATGTATTTATTGAGAAAAACTTATAGTCCTCTAGTGCTCACACTGGATGCTAAAATTGTGTTGGTCCTGATGTTGCTTAGCAATACCTGTCCTGGTTGGGACTGTTGAGAGTTGGGTTTAATTAGTTTACCATCCGTGTAAATTGTACAGTAATTTTTAGGAACTTTTTTCCTGCTCTACTATGACTATTTATTATATTTGTATTTTATGTGCTTTTAAAATATTGTTTTAACTATAAAACAGTTTGAGGAACTAGTAAAAAAAGTGGTACGTAGTAGGTGTTAAAATTTTTGATAATTGAAGCATTAAGTTATAAAAATAAATGGAAAATAAATATTACATTACAGTATAATATTTTTAGGTATTAAAATGATTTATTATTACTTTTTAATGCTTTATTTTTCTCATTTTTGACTGTTTGCAAATCTAAATCATGAGAACACAACTTTTTATGCAGGAAGAGTAAAACTTAGTTTTGACTTTTATGCATGAGGATTGTACTACAAAGAGTTTTGGTGGGTCCTAAGCCAAAAAAAAAAAAACATTTAAAATTGAGTTAAATATAAATACTTATGGATAATATTCAATTGTACATCAAACAAAATTTACTGTTTCCATTAGGGGGCAGATCAAGCTTGCAGATTTTGGTCTTGCTCGCCTGTACAGCTCTGAAGAGAGGTAAGTTTAATATTAATTTAAAACTATGTGTTCTTTTTGGAAGTATTCTGAAAATATATCATAAACAAAACTTAATAAAAGATGCGGAATTAAAAAAATCTTCCATGACCTTTAAGAATGTGGTAATACTTATTATTTTAAGTATTATTTTAATGTTTTCTAATCTGAATTAAATTTTAAGCATTTTTTATTTTTTTTTATTTATGAACACTTACCTCATAACTCATTAAATGTACCCTGTAAACTATTAGCTTGGGTTCGCTTTCACATATTTCCTTCATAAAAAGTAAATACCAAAGATTTCATGCTTTTTAGCTGGAAATGAGTCCCTCCTTCCTGCAACTGGACTATGTTCCATCACTATGATACCTTTATTTATTCAATAATGTCTAAAGTGTATTGCACAATTTTGTTTGGTTATTGTAATGGTTTGTGCAATAATTTAAAAAGATATGCCTTTTTGGTAATAGTACTTCAGATGCAGTATAAATATCTGAATGTACCCGAAAACATAAATGATTGTAAAATCTTTGATTCTTATAGTATATAAATGGACATGATTAGTTGGTAACACCATTACCTTAATTCATTGGCCTAGTTGTCATGAAGATGCAGGTAGTTCTTGTTTAGTGACTGCCCTGGACTGTGACCTTTCACAGTTGCGATAGTGATGAAAAAGTAACTTTGCAACCAATGCCTCCATTAATGACCAATGCAGTATCTTTCTTAATTATGAGTTTTCTCTTGCAACCAGTTAGTACCTGTTGTCCTCTTTTGTTTTTCCTTTACTCCACTCTAGTAGAGTGGGGAGATTACCTAAAGAAGCTATCTTTTCCTGAGTTACTTTTCTCAGCAGTGCAGCTTTATTCCTAAAAGATGCTAATAGCACGTTAACAAGCTCAGCAACCTAATTTACCGTATTTTCACGACTATAAGCCGCACTGAAAATCCTAAAATTTGATCCAAAACCGGCAGTGCGGCTTATAACCCGGTGCGCTTTATATGTGGAAAAAGATCTCCCAGCTGCTTTCGGGGCTTCCTGGAGCGCCAAGAACCTTCGCGCTGTTCTCCGCTCCTCACGACTGCAATAGATGTCCAGAAGCGGCTTTTGGGGCTAATGGGGATTGGATTTCCAGCTCGATAGCCCTTGCCGCTTCTGGACGTCTATTGCAGTTGTGAGGAGCCAAGGAGAGTGCGGAGAACAGCGCGAAGGTTCTTGGCACTCCAGGAAGCCCCGAAAGCAGCTGGGGGAGGCGCACGGCTTGGTTTCTCCTCCCTGGACGTCGCAGCAGCAGCCCCAAGCGCACCGATCTCTGTGTTTTTCGCATTGGGTTTTCCATGCCCCGATGCGAAAAACACAGAGATCGGTGCGCTTGGGGCTGCTGCTGCGACGTCCAGGGAGGAGAAACCAAGCCGTGCGCCTCTCCCAACTGCTTTTGCGGCTTCCTGGAGCGCCAAGAACTTTCGCGCTGTTCTCCGCTCCTCCTCGCGACTGCAACAGATGTCCAGAAGCATCGGGAAACGTGCGGCTTATAACCCGGTGCGCTTTATATGTGGAAAAAGTTTGAAAAATTAACGTTAATTGATACTGCGGCTTATAATCCGGTGCGGCTTTTGGTCGTGAAAATACGGTAGTTTGTTAGAACTAACCAATTTCATACCAAGGATTTTTTTTTTTTGCTCCTAGGACCAAAACCTTCATTTTTATGTATATTCATCATAGTTTGCTTATTTACTCAATTGCAATTCCTTCGTCTCTAATAAATGCAAATAACAAACATTAAATCTCTTCTTGCTAATTATGCCAGTGTCAGTGTGAGCAAGCCAAAGGGCAGGGGAGTGCTGTAAGAATTGCTCTTTTACTCTGCTTCCTTGTAAGTCCAGTTCTGGAAACCTTCCCTGCTGTTTGGGTTCATTCATCTGTTTGACGTCATATTCTTCTGATTCGCTAAAGAAAAGAAAAGTTCAAAATAGTAAGCATAATAGCCGTTATGTTATTTTTCACTTAGTGATTGATTTGCCTAACAGCAAGTTGTGAGTCCCGATTGCAGTTTCTAAATGAGGACTGCCTGTAGTAAAAATCTTTCGATATTGCACCATTGTATTATATGTAAGATACATTCTGTTGTGTGAGGGAATATTTTTCTATACATCATAATATAAAGTTATTTAGGGTGAGGCTTGTACATAAGAAACACATGGTAAGACAGAAACAGTGACAAATCCTTGAAGAACAGGGGCTGATTTGGAACTTCCGGCTGATGTCACAGCAGGATTGGATGCCAGGAAGAGGGCTCCGAAAGGAGTTAAAGCCACCCTGTAGGGGTGGTGAAGAAAAGAAGGGCATCCTGCAGGTCGCAAAGAGCCACAACTCTTCCGCTCAACCCAGGGTGTTATCCTTCTCATCCACCAAAGAGAAGAAGCAGCCATCATGGCTGCCATAAAGCTGGGACAGCCGAGACAACAAAGAAAATGTGTACGAGTGATGCAGATGAACAGTGACTGGAGCTGGGTGAGAAGATTTCTTTTTTTCTTTAGACCCTAACCTTAAAAGGAAAGAAAAAAGAGAAAATTCAGGAAAAGAGACTCTTAGAACTATCTGTTAAAGCTGTAAATAACCATAGAGAGAAAAATTCTAGACCCGAATGAAAGAAATTAAGGGGAGAAAAGCTAAAGACTTTCTTTAAACAAATACAGAAAATTGGATTGCTTAAACTGGCTAGGCATTGTATTGAAAATGAATTATAAAATGCTGGAACTACTTACCTGACTAGCCAACTTTGCTTTCATAAACTGAATTAAAACTTGGATTAATTAATTTGTTAGATTTGAAACAACACTAAAACCTAAGATGAGGTCGCCATCTACTGGTGAATGAAAAATATACCATACCCCAACAAGACTGGGAAATTTTTGATAAGAGAACCAAACAAGGCCTATTTGGAGGATTATGGTGATTTACTGTTCTATAAATATCTATTTCATGATTACTTGAGATTCTATTGTGAGAACCAAGAAGACTCTTACAGAAGTGACTTTTGACTTTTGGAAAGTTGCCTGGACTATCTATGGAATTGATTAATTACCCTGAGATGTAAAGGATTATTATTGAATATTCTGAGAAGGAACATCAGACTTGATTTCTGGACCGCTGATAAGAGTGGGACTTATTAAAACAAAACAAGAGGCTTTACCAAGGGGAGATGAGTGGTACTACAGGACAAATGGTGTTGATGTTTCAAGACACATTAGGGATGTTATGACAAAGAATTACAGAGAAACACAGAACTTATTGCAAGGCATGAATGGAAAAATGGAAAATATCTTACAACTGATGAATGAATGAAGATCAAAGAGTCCAGGAAAGAGAGGAGATAACAGAAAGAACAGACAAATCAGCAAATAAAACAAGAAGATGAGGAGAAGATGATGACAACAATAATAAAGACTGATGAAATAAACCAAGGAAAAAGTACTTTTAAGAGATTTAAAAATGGAATCTGGTAAGCTGGAAGATACTTTTGAAAGGAGGATCGGGGCATGGGTGGATATTTTTGAGACCTGGCAGCTTAGGAGGATAGAGAGATGGGAGAATTACCTATATTGAACGGTGATGTACGTGTTGATAGAGATAAAGAGCCAAGAGAAGAGTACAGGAGGCAAGTTAAAAAATAATTTAAATATTAAAATGGGCAAGAAATGATCAAGAGAAAGGAAATATTTTCTTTTTCTTTCTAATGAAATGATGGCCTGATGAAAAACTAGAATAGAGATAGAAATAAGAATGTGCACTTTTATATAAAACAACAGTTAGATGCAAAGATTGAAAGTTGAAAGATAGTAGTATTATGTACGTCCAAATAATATGATGATTGACATTAGACTGGCCTATTGAAATATTGAATAACCATTGAAAATGACTATTTTTAAATATAAACCTGTGAATTAACAAGGATAAGTAATTATGACCTGACTAGAATTTGGAATGGAGGCAGAAATAAGTAATAGTGAGAATATTAACATATATAATTTTTATATGATAGAATGAGAGTAATAATCAGATGGAAAGATTAGCGGTCAAAAGATGGTATTACTATGTATGTTTAAATAATATTACTATTGGTATTAAAATGAAACATTGACATATTGAACTAAGACATGACTAAGAGTGTATTAATCACTAATTGCAAAATCAGTAACAGTAACTGATTTTGTACATAGCATAGATTGCCATATTGGCTTTTGCTTTGAACAGCAAAAATTGATTCAGACCCGATCTTATGGTAGTTTGAAAAGAAACCTGAGAACAGCAGTGATTTCCAAAGACATTCTAAAACACTGATGGCTAACCTTTTTATCGTTGTGCAGCAAAAGCCTGGGTGCACACACCCATAATGCAATGCATGCATGCCCCCCCTGCGCCCTCCATGCAGGCATGTACAACCCTGCATGTGCCCCACTTGCACCCGGCTTCCGCACATGCACAGCAGAGACCCGAAAACCAGCTGGCCTGTGGGAGGCTCACGTGCATGTGCGGTGGAGCTTAGCTGGGGTGTTGGCTCGCGTGCTGGCAAAGAGGCTCTGCATGCCACCTGTGGCACACTTGCCATAGGTTCGCCATCATGGTTCTAAAACATTATTTTCTGAATCAGAAAAAGATCAGAATTATTCTTCTATGGAAACTGATTAAGAAAATAATGCCAAAATTAGCAGTCACAGACCATCCATTTATTTTGTGTAAAAATGTAAATGCATTTGAAGAACATCATTTTTCTTTTTCTTTTTTAGTTCTTTTTTTTAATTGAGCTTTTAATCTTATAAGTCACTCAGAATCACTGAGAATGAGTTGGCCATATAAATTTTCTTAAATCAGTTAAATGAATAAAAGGAGGACATGGTGAATACTGACGTAATCAATTCCCTAATTTCAAGAGTCTGGCTGAAGACAATCATTGCAAATACCTTGGCATTCTACAAGCTGACAGTACTAAGCACACTAA